AATAACCCACCTCAGCGGCAGCAACCCTTTCTCTCTCACCGATGGCCATCTTTTCATCAATCCCTTCTCTCCTCTGTTTTTGAATTGGTGACCCAAGATTCAAATCGCATCTAACTTTTAGGTGGCAATACAATTCCCAACTCACAATCCCAAAAGCTTGGTGTGTAATGGAAAGTAATTCATCCACCAAAGATCTCATGAAGGTCACAAGTGGGATTGGATGAATCACCATGAGTCAAAGCCCAGTACGAGTGATGCTAGTTTCTTTACGATATCTGGGGAATAAAGTTTTTAATTTTTTAAAGGTTTGTTTATGGGTTTTGATTTCAAAGTGCAATATTTATGAGTTTTAATTTATGGGTTCGTATGTTTTATGGCTACTGGGTTTCTTGGCTTTACCCGTATTTTGTGAGTTCATGGGTTCTATGGCTGGGGTCAAATATTTCTTAGCTTTGGCTTCAATTTTTCCAGAAAACTATACACTGTATGCACACGAGATGCATAAAGGAGGTCAAATTTGGGTTTGTGCTCAATTATTGTAGTCTAATTTTGACGTAATGTAGTGAACAAAGACACCGAATCACATCCTATAAGATTCCAACCTATGACATTGGGTTTTGGAGACTTAAGCATGCTTTGTTCATGCTTTGTGTTGTGCGTCTTTTCATTTAAGAAAGCAAACATTGTTAATGATACCAAAATAACTTCTCCCTTTTTCATTTACTAACAAAAATTACATGACAACTAAATCTGAAGAAAAGTAAAGGAAAAGAAACAAATTTAGTCCCTATTAAAACCATTTAACATATCACAAAAAAATGTTCATTTTCTGATGCCATCTACAAGAATTGCAGCTACAAAATTTTCCCGATGAGTGCATAAGACGTGCATAAGGTGTGCATGTCTTGTGCGCATGGCATATTATGTGCATTTAATGTGCATTCTATGTGCATGGTATGTGCATGTTATGTGCATATAACAAGGATACATAGTACGCATGTTTATTATCATAAAATACTTAGCTAATACATTGCACAACAATAAAATGTCATATAATTCCATTATGGTTGACGCGGTTCATTTCCCTTCGCTAGTCGACGAGAATCCTCAAAGCCCTTGTTGCGTTCCTCCTCTATTTCGGCATTTCCATCTTGAGAACGCTCATATGACTCAATATGGCCCCGATGCTTCTGGAACAATTCAAAATTTAGGAATGTGATCATTTTTCTAGACATGTCAGCCTTTGTTTTCTGGTTGTTTGCATGATAGAGCACTTCGTTGGCTTCACCGTTGAGGTCCACAAGCTTTTTTCTGCCTTCATTAGCTTGTGGTTCTAATACTCGGCGATGCCCGTCTCATAGTTGAGTCTCCTGCGGACCTGATCTATACTTTTCAGCAACGTCACCGAGTCCATAGAGCTAAACGATGACGTAGGATTTGCCTTCAACAACCCCGAAAGTGGAGGAGGTTCCATGTTGTACCACCCATGGAACTCTACGTTATATCCCTTAGTTTCATGTGGGAACTTGGACATGTTTGTGTTCTCAATTGTTTTGGCTATACACAAGTCTATGTGTGAGAAACATATTTATACACAAGTCTACCATAATAAGGATAAATCAGTGGGGTAAAAGAGGGAATGTGTTGAAGGTTTTTATGTGGTGAGGATATGATGCATGTGACCTTTAAAAGTTGTAAGAACCCCACCATTACCCTTTTGTCCCCCAACTTGAAAAATGCTTCCAAATGTTGTTACTTCATTTCCAACATAAAGGCTAGTGTTTTATCAAATCTCACACCCCCTACATCATGTTGTGCATGGGTTAGTCCAAGCATTTCTAACTATTTTGTAATGGTGGGGACTATATATTCCTAGTTTCAACAAGACATGGGTTCGAAACGTGGAGGTTTTTACATTTTTTTTTTGTTTTTTAACCCATTGTTATTGTTTTAACTCATCATCTAAATGACCTTTTGAAACTCACAATCCAACATCTTGTATATACTAGTACCAATATACAAGCACAGGGCAAATCATATAGAGATGACAAATGTGCATATCATGTACAATTTCTTTCATATTGAACTAAGACTTGTAATTCACAAACATTTTCAGAAAAAAAACCCATTCCAGATCGAATTCACAAAAATTTGCAAGTTCATAACAAAATTAACAAATATTGAGCCTTCTGTAACAAACACACAAAGCCAAATCCACAAACATAACTCCATGAATCTTCAATACCCTAAACAAAAATTAAATGCAAAACTCTTAAGATTGAAACCCATAAATCTAAAGTAACAAAACCCATAAACAAACAAAGATTTCCATAACACGTTTGGGGCCCTCTTTTTCCCATCCCTCTTTTGTTTGACTTCCCATCTCTACAAATCCAAAAAACTTAATTGAACAAACAAGTAATTAGTTGCAAAAATTGAGACAATGACTGAGTTAGAGAGAGAAAGAGATGAGAGAGAGAGAGAGAGAAAGAGAGAGACAAACCTGATGGCAGTGGAAATATGGTTGTCGAAGCTTCACTAGCTAGAAAGAATGGACTTTCCAGCCAAACCGCAAAATTTGGTACAAAAATCATGTTTTTAAGGATGGAACATTGATGCAAATGAGAAACCCTCACTTTGAAGCTTCACTCTCGACTTCTCTCTCTTGGAAATCGGAGCTTAGAAATTTGAGCTCAACCTAGAAACCTAGAGCTCACATAGGTCTCTCTGCATCCTCTCTTCCAAATGACAAAAATGATGAAATGAGCTAAGAGTTTTTGTATTTATATGTGGGCTTTTAGTACTTTCGGTTTTGTGCATGATGTGCATGGCCCGTTTGTCCTATTCCTGTCCCAAGATTAAGAAAATGTCCCATTTTGGGGTATTTCCCATAATTTTTTAACTTTTGGAAAGAAAAAACTATCTTATTTTTGGGTGTGCCTTTCAAAATGAAATAAATAAATAAACAAGCTCGTTTCCATAAAAATAAACAAAAGCCTATTAAAGATGGCACAAACCTGGGCTTGCTCACCATTGCCAGCCTTCTCATGCTTATGAATAGAGTGCCCTACACTAGTAATGGCATCAACAAGAAAATTCGCCTCCCAAAAAACATAAGTCCAAGAAACTGAAGAAAATGATCCTACAAGTAATATGATGACCTCTATAATAGTTTTCAATCGCCAAGGTGTTCTGCACTTGTTTACAAGAAACTTTACTAAAAATTAAACAATCATTTGCAAAAACCAAGTAGAAATTTTGAACCCTAAAGGAGAAAAAAGAATACCAAAATTGATTTTAATAATTACAAACTAACAAATTTAGCTATCTAATCAATGGCTCCATTCATAAAATGAAGGTGTAAGGGGATAAAGGATCGCCCTGCCAGATTCCTAGTGAAGGATAAAAAGAACCCTTTGCTTCTCCATTAATCAAGACAGAGAAAGAGGTTGACGTGACGCACTCCATGACCTTAATCCAATTATGGTGGAAACCAAAATTACTAAGCACCATACGAATATAGTCCCAACTTAGCATATTGTAGGCTTTCTCAAGGTCCAACTTAATGGCCCACATGACACGATCAATTCGACTCAAGGACCGACGATAATAGAAGTTTGCTAACTCTCCTAGCAACGAAGGGCAGTACTTTTTTCGTAGTAATAGTGGGCGGGTCTCATGAGATCTTTTAAAGGATTCCTTATCACACCAGAACCCAACCTGCCTTTTTTATTCTTAAATTCAGAAAGAATTTCATGAGCAATAAGAATGTTAGGGATAGTTTTGTTAGTAATGACTTTCCTAGGGCAAAAGCCCCTTGATTTTCATAAATACGCTATGCAAGCAGAGGCTTGAGCCTAGAAATGATGATTTTAGTGATAATTTTGTAAATAATACTGCATAAGCTAATAGGCCTATAATGATTAATAGTCTCAAGGCTCTAAACTTTCAGAATTAGGACGATATTAGTAGGATTAATCAGTTTAAGACATGAGCAATCTCAAAGAAATCTCTAACCAATTTAATAACATAATGCTTAACAGTGGACCGACAATGTTGAAAAAATGTAGCATGCAACCCATATGGTCTCGGAGCATCAAGTTTTCAATGTTGCTTCAGCCATCCAAATTTCATTTTCAGAGACTTCCTTTAGTAAATCGATATTTTGTGAATCAGTTATACACAAATTGATAATGTCAATAAAGCTACTCACATCACTGGAATTAGGAGTATGCGAGCAGAAAAAACGCAGTTTAAAATCCTGGACAAGAACCTCCTCCATACCCTTACCCCTATTCCACAAAATATCAATAGCATCTCTGACTCTTTGTATTTCATTTCTCCTTTTTTTTCTAATAGTAGCATGAGTTTTAAAATACTTATCCCCTAACTGTAATCAATTAGCTCTAGCCTATTGAGCCCACATGATTTCCTCATCCCTCCTTAGAGATTGAATAAGTTGTTCAGAAATATTTTTTTCCTCCTCGAGAAGTTGAGGGATAGGATTATCAACCATTGTTTTGGATTGAATATCCACCCAAACTATAAAAAATATTTTAAAAGAAAAATATAAAAACATATTTAAAAAAAAAGAAATAAAATTACAAGTAAAGAATAAAACATGAAAGAGCAAATTGCCACGCATATGAGCATGTGACAAGCGACTAGTGTATCAAGTAAATGCATATGCTGCATTTAGTTTCTCATGTGTGACAAGAGACTAGTGTATTAAGTAAATGCATATATTAGTCATTCAGTACTACGGTTTGGTAGTATACCTCTTCACTTGGAAGTGAGAAGTTTTAGGTTTGAATCATGTGGATTGTAAATTCGATACCAAATTAAACTGCTCATTATGTGGTTTAGCCGAATTTCCTTTCCCGGTAATATAAAAATATCGATGTAAATGCATATTAGTTAGTCCCCTATTTTTCACCTTCTGCACCATTCTAGCCCTTGATTTTTGTAATTTTTTAATCCAACGACAAGAAAAAAGAGGGCGTTGCTGAAACTGAAAGAAAATAAGTGACGGCCACGAACCCGCTTGAGCCGGCTGGCGGTTACCCCTTTCACCAATCCAACGTCTTCGGATCCCGGACGCCACGGATTCGTATTTGATCCACGGATAGTCCCCCAAACACTCAATTTGTCAAATCCCTTTCACTTCTTTTAAACATTCACTTTCCAAAGCAATTCAAATCTCAGAACAAGAATCCGATTCTCGCATTGCAATTTCTCCACCCATAGTTTTCCCATTTCAGGAATAATCGAATCCAACGCAACCCACTTTTTGATTTTCGATTTTGATCCTCACCATTTCTGCAGCCTCACTCAGATCGAACCGCACCAGCAACTTTCATGTAAGCTCCGATCTTCCTCTCACTCTATCTCAGTTACCCATTTATTGTTCATCTGGATCTTGCTTCGATTAAGCTATTGTGACTGAAAGATTTGAGCTTTGCTTGTAAATTTTACCTCTTGTTGTGTTGTGAATTTGAATGGTGATATTAATTGCCCAGTGAAGTGGGAAGAAGATGGAGGGCACTGTGTTTGCTCCCGCTTTGGAAGGATTCAAGGCTGTCAAGTCCGACCAAGGAGAGATTCTGACCAAGCCTTTCTTGGATGTCTGCAAGCAGATTTTACCTGTTATAGGTTCATTTCTCCCCCTCTTTTGCTCTGATCCCAGAAATTGAACTGGGTTTTCGCTTTCTTTAAGGCACGATTGTTGTTTGTACATGGTTTTTAAGCATAATGCTAGCTACCCATTTGTTAAAATTTTATAATTTGAGATTGGTTATTTTGTTCTGGGCTTGATCTTATCTGCTTATGAATTGCAATTCGAAATTCTGATGCTAGATAAGTTTGGAGCTGCTATGACCCTTGTTAAATCAGACATCGGAGGTAACATAACGGTAAGAATGTTCTTTTACTTGTATTTTCACCATTGGCGCGCTGTGAGTTTAGTAGAATTATGCTTTATGTTGGCTAACTTGAATGATCTATTTTTCATGCATCATTCCGATAGAAACGTCCTTTGGCTTTTATGTATGTTAACAAGTAGATCATCTTTTAGTTGATCGATTTTGAGTGCCCATTTGTAATTTCACTCTCAACAATTTTTTGTTTGTATAGAGATTGGAATCTAAATATGAATCCAATCCTGCCGCATTCAACCTCTTGTACAGTTTGGTACAAGTTGAGATAGAAGCGAAAACAGCAAAAGCGTCATCCAGCTGCACCAATGGTCTTCTTTGGTTGACAAGGTAATCGATATGATCATTACGTTTGCTTTTTTGCTTTTATGATTTTGCACTTTGTTGAAATGTGATACCTCATATGTATGATACTATTCTTGTTCATTTTCAGAGCAATGGATTTCTTGGTAGAGCTGTTCCGGAACTTACTGGAGCATCAAGATTGGGCAATGTCAGAGGCTTGTACAGATTCCTATGGCAAGACCCTGAAAAAATGGCATGGATGGATTGCTAGTTCAACTTTCAGTGTAATGTCTCCAATGCCCCTTCGATTATTTGATGCACTACCAGTTTTCCCACTGTTTTTAGTCCTTTGATGTTTTTAATAGTATTAAGACGATTATGTTCTGCAAGTTGAGTGCTTCCTTTTTAAGTGTTTTACTGCCTAAATTTTTTAATTTGTTTGGGCCCTGTGAACGAGAACATTTTCCTCTTCAAATTTGGACTTATTAGTCACTATAATGATAGATTGCCATGAAGCTTGCTCCTGACAGAAAGAAGTTCATGGAGGTGATAGGAGGCAACAGCGATGTCATGGGTGATATAGAGAAATTCTGTGATGCCTTTACGCCTCTTCTTCAAGAGAATCACAAGTTTTTGGTAAGATGTTTTATTCTGTTGCCAAATTGAGTGAGAGCCTTTTTCTATAACATTGTCATTTAGTTATGAGAAGGTTGCCATAGATTGACCAAATAATTGGTTAGAATGACAAATAGATGTGTATGGAGAAGTTGAAGGAAAAAAGAAACTCTATTCCATCAATTAGCCACATAAGATTGAGTTAGGAAAATGCTCATTTTTGAAAATTTCCCAAACTGTTGCCCTTGAAACTCATCATACTAAAAAGTCACTCAGGTTTTGTAAGATTAGCAAAACTCAACGTTCTGAGATGTTATCCTTCGGTTGGAAGGGAAGTTTCATAATTTCCTTGAGTTGCAATTCCGTTGATTTTCTATTTAGAAACAACGAGAAAGGAAGACAATTATCAACAGATTTGCCATCGCAAAATGTTAATATACGCTGACGAACTTTACTCTGTTTAAACAGACTAGTGTTGGCATGGATGATTTGAAGGCTTCGTAATTGAGAAGGTTTTCTGATGAGAGGAAGCTTGTACCCATGGATCATGTCCGTATTATGTCCTAATCCTTCAACTTAAAACATGAAAAATAATGCAACTTTTTCCTACACTGCACTTGGATATTTGATTTTATGTTTAATGTTAAATCTTACTTATAGATGTTTATTACACAGTATCTGATTGTTATGTGGTTTTATATGCTTGTTGCCCGCTCGTGCCTTGAGTTATTATCCTGCTTTCTTCTTGTATGCTTAGGTTGACATGAGAGATCGGATGAAACTAAAGAATAACCCTCTGATGGATGATGCAGGTAGTGGTGTCCCCTTTCCCGAAATCCTTTCCTACCGTATGGATTTCTTTTCTATAAAGAATCGAACACTTGACTTATCTTCGCCTTCCTACGTTCTCTCACCATTTGGGCTAGCCCGTAAATGAGACATGAGCTAGTTCGTAAAAGGGCATTGACAACGCCTTCCCGTACTCTTATAGGTTGTATAGACATGTTACACTTAGATTTGTACAAACTTTACTAACCACGTTGTGCGCTAGACCTAATAGAGTAGAATCCACTTATACTAGATGAAATTTCTCCTTCACAGGTATTACAACCCTATTTTATTTTCTTTCATCCATCTTTTAATCATATGTCGTTAACCTAAATTGTACAGCTACTCTCTAATTAAATTTTGCGACTAGTGAGTGAGGAGCATCGCTGGAACCTCATTTGTGAGGATCACATCAGTTCATCGTACATCGTGCAATCAGAAATTATTGTAAATTCTTTTATTTAAAATTGAATATAAGCAGTACTTGACGAAAATTAGCCGCACGATATATAATGAACGGATGTGATTGGAGGATCCGGCAAGAATCCTCACTCACGACTAGTGTAGGAAACTAGTTAAGTATGCCAATGTGGCAATTGATCGTGTCCTAATTTGGGGAAAGAGATCATCTCTAGATCTCTTCCTTTAAAGCCTACGGATCAAGTGATATGGGCTCTTGAAATTGATCAAACGGCTAAAAACAAAGAAGTTAGTAAAAACTTTTAAAAGTTATAATAATTTTTTGTCGTTGTATCAAATTTCAAGGACTCAGATCATTTGATCCGTGGGCTTTGGAGGAAAAGATTCGGAGAGAATCTCTTTCCCTAATTTGGAGCTGCCAAATAGAGTTCATAAAGGCACGAACAAAAATTTTTGAGTACAATGGGTCGGAATGGGTCTCAAGTTCAAATTTTGGCCTCCGTTGATTAAAGAAAAAGAGCACAATGTATTAAAATTCCTGACATCTTTCTGTCATGATTAAATAAGGTAGATATTTAATTCAAAAGTAATGCTAGGGAGACTAAATTTACAAATTAAATGAAATGCAAGTTGATGATTGGATTATCCCTGAAGCGTTGATAAACGTACTCATTTCTATTGGTGACACATAATTTAGTTTGCAAATTTTGTCTACAAATTTAGTCTCCCTAGCATTATCCTTAATTCAATTGTAATTCATTATCTCCTATATTCTTAGCTTTCCCAATTCATGACTTTACAAGTAAACATGTCATAAAAAAATTTCAATTGTACCCAAAAAAAACAAAACTAGGAAGACATGGTAATTTGCAAATTTCATTCTTTTATTATACAAATGATTTATTGTAGTGAGTTGTTGTGGATGAATTAAAAGATACTCCAAAAATTAGGAAGAGGAGGATAAATGAGATGTGAGCAACTAGTAGAATTCCACAACTGCCACACAATTGTTTTTCCCAACCGCTTTTGCCGCGCATTCACTGAAAAACCGTTAACAAGCCCCCTCTCGCCCAAATTTAGCCTATGGTTCTGGCCATTTCTACTTCTATCTCTCACTTTCGCAGCCGAAAATCCGGTGAGCTATAGGTTTTGATAACTTGCCACCGGAAACGAGCGCTGCATCGCCACCGGATCTTCCAACAAAGCCTGTGCTCTCATTTCAATTCTGATTCTTTTCGGATTTTCCGACTCACGGAAAAAATTAGTTCAGGCCCCATGGCACCACATTCCACATTTGCAAACCTGAATTTGTAAATTGGTTTTTGGAGAAGAGATGAGACCTCTCTTTGCCCAGTTGGGTTATTTGCGTAGGCTTGGCAACATTTATAATTATGTCTGCTTCACATTGCTAAACCTTGTTGTACCATGCTGAATGCCTTTCTTCTCAAGGTACCAAACCCTACATATTTTCTGTGTTTCGGATTTTTCGTGTTACATATTTTTGGATCAACGAGGAGGTGGGATCCGACGTTGTTGTGTCACGTTAATTGGGATCAATTTGGAAATTTTCGCAAACGGTGTAGGAACTACCAACTAATGAATATTCTTTGGGAAGTGGAGTTTCCAATTTTCTGTGGTAGTATTGATTCTTTTCTCCTTTTTGTGGTTTTCATGATCAGGGAGCTTGTCATACACATTGTTGCTTTCTTTGCATTTGAAGTTCAGAATAAGCGCTGCTGTCCGTGCGCACTACACTCGCAACTTAGGTTCCGCCTGAAGGTTTCCTCGGAAGTGCATGTCCTGAAGCACTTGAACCAACAAAATGGGAACCAAGGTGAAGGGCCTCTTGAAAGGCCTCAGATACATTTCGCAAATGTTTGGTACGTGCAATCTCCGTTGATTTTTCGAACATTAATTAAATTCATTTGGTTTCTTGTCATATTATGTCCTTTTCATGAGTTTTGGTTATATAGTTGTGCATTGTCTCATTTCAACAGATGTTCTTGGTGAAATTAGCTTGCAGTTCCTGTCGTCAGAAAGAATTAACAGTGCAAAATATAATATTGGAGGATTTTTTTTGTTTTTGCTTAATTTCTTAGGGGTGATATGAATAATCTTTTACCAGAAATTGAAAGGAAAGGGCAAAGGGATTGACCAAGTTGTACAAATTTTGCAGATGATAAAGATGATGACATACAAATTGGATTTCCCACAGATGTTAAGCATGTTGCGCACATTGGATGGGATGGTCCGTCTACAAAAAGTACTCCGAGCTGGGTAAGTTGCTCTCTCTCTCCCTGTCTCTTGATCTTAAACATCCAAGCACAACAGTTGATCATTCTTAATTTGATGCACATTTTTTCCATTTTACATAAAATTGTGACTATATGACATTCATCTTGCAGATGAATGATTTCAAAGGTGCTTCTCCGGAAGTCCCATCCACCGGGAAATTGACTGTTGAAGAATTGGCTTCCCAAGGTTTGCCAGTTTTTCTAACACTACATATCTTTTCCACCTCATAGTATTAGCCTTGCCTATACAGATTGACAATCTGACAACATAGCATGTCAAAATTTTGACATGACATTAAAATTGATCACTGTCTTTTGCAGATATGCATAAAACAAGCCTTGCTGCCCAAGAATTGGTGCAGCAAAATGACATTCCAAGGTCTAGGCACCATTCCACAGGTGAATCTGAAGGTTCCCCAACCAAGAAGAGCTCTGATGGGTCAAAGAAGCATTCTAGGCGCCATCGCTCCAAGGAAGGAGCAATGGATACTCCATCTCATGAATCTAAAGAAGGTAGTAGCCGTCATTCAAGAAAAAGCCGGAATTCTAACAATCTTGGATCAGAATCACCCGGACAAGACCGTCCTGGAATACCAAAGCAAAGGAGGAAAAAGGGGTCATCTGAAGGTGGGTCATCGAGGTCATCAAGAAGGGCAAACAGATCAAAAGGCCAGAATTCTATGACTGATATTTCATTGGAAGGTTCAGAGCATGGATCATGCAAGAGTACCGAGAGTCCAATGCACCCCGTTTTCGCAGAAGCGAAAAGTTCTGAGGGGTTTTCTGGCGGGAATAACGTGAACTAAATGCACAAACTGAGGTCTTAACATAAACCCTCGAAACCAAAAGTATGAGACTTCTGCTTGCTTACTTAATTGATCATTTTTTATTTTTCATTTGTCATGTTGATAGCTGTGACTTGCAAAGCTGCAAGTGAGATTTGAGAAGTTTGGTTTCCAATTTATGCACTCTTACTGCCTCTAGAATACGTCAAAACAAATTTGAGGAGTCAAATGAGTCTACGACAGCCCGCCCGGTGTTCGATTCTCTCACTCTATCAGAGGATTTTTTCTTGGTTCTTCATGTTGTTTCCAAACTCGCGTATGAGGTTCTTCTCCAGCCTAAAGATTTTATTCTGCTGCCATCTCAATATTCAGTTTGACAAGAGGAAGCAATTGAGGTCAAAAACACCACAATAAAAGAGGGGATCCATGCCCCCAATTTATGTCAAAGACAGATCCAGTCTCCGGCGGACATTCATCTCATTCACCGAAGGACTTTGAGTGCTGCTATGCATAATTTTTATGCAACTCTTCTTGTAAAAACTCCTCTTGTAAAAAAAGATTTCATGAAAGAATCAAGAATAAATTATTTCAAATATCTGAATGTTAATCATTCTAACGAAAATTCGTTCTAGAGAACTCAGATTGTTTCCAAAATTTTGTTCCTTGTGAATCAAGGCATACTCACGCTGCCGGTTGTAGATCAACTTGACAAGCTCCTTTTCTCCAGAACCAATGTAAGTACTTAAACCTTGTAAGCAACAACAGAATGCTTTTATAATTAATGATAAAAGTACAGCACACAGCCTGTGTGTTGCGGAAAGTGAGAGCATTCAAATTAGATCATTTTTCTTACATGCGACCGTATGAATTACTATTTGAACACTACATGTCTAGACTGATAACTGACTGGATGGATTTTATCTAATCTAATTTTGTAATCTGAAAATATGAGAAAAGATAAACAGTAAAATCTGTTGCAAAACATATAGGATGAGTTGGAGATTATTTTATTTACAACTTTCAAGTTTCAATGGTAAACACTATACATCTTCATCGAAACCAAAAGAAAAGATTCGAATAGCGCCTGACAGAAGTTCAACTCTATCTTGAATTTCTTGTGAATGACGAATGATAAGGGAATTTGGTTCGCCAACCCAAAACCATGTGGAGAGTGGAGCCTTTCTGAATGTTGTAACTTGAAAGACAGCATTCATCATCAAGGCGTTTACCGGCAACTACAATACTCTGAACACGAACTGGCACTCTAACCTTGCAAAATATCTTGTCCTTCACCTCTTTGACAGTGCTCTTTCCTGTCACGTCAAGTGTAATGGTTTTCCCACTCCACATCTTAATGAATATCTGAAACCAGAAGAGCAAAACTTCTAAAGTGGAGCTTTCTTCGATGTCGTAGAAATCCAAGGTCTTGCAATCCTACAGCTCATTGCCTGCATAAATCATACTGCAATCAGCAACAGGCATTCTATAAAGCTCTCAACAATTGCCTTGACATCCCGGACAGTTTACAAGACCTTAACCTCAAATTTAACCATCTTTCCACTTGGTGTTTCCACAAAAATCGACATCACATCTCTTCAATTGAAAATCACATAGGGTTGATTCTGTCCGAATATCAAGTGATGCCAATGTCTGGTAATAATCTTTCTAGTATTAGAGCAAGTCCACCCATGGACATTGCTTGGGGGACAGGGGAGAGGAAAGGGCCCGAGGCCCTGTGAACTTGCTCCAGCATTGAAGGAGGCCCGAGCGGAGGTGAGGCCCGAGCTCCGGGCCTGTGAAGAGTTGACAGCCCGAGAGCCCGAGTGGGTGTGACGCCAGGCTGACGCCAGCCCTGGCGTCTAACCCTTTTTTTATTTTTTTCTATCAGGTGCATGCACCCCACTCACCCATGGGGGCGCGTCGCCCGACCATTTTTCAAAAAAGTCAACCGACTTTTCAAACAGAAAAGTTACCGTTGGGAAGCCATGTGGCTTCTCAAGGTCCGTTCAATCTCAACGGCTCTTTAATTTGGACCGTTGGATCTCAAAGGTAAAAAAAATTAAAAAAAATCTTATTTAATATCAACCGTTCGATCTAAGATCAACGGTTGATATTAATATACTTTATAAATAAAAAAATAGTTTTAAAATTAAGAAAAGTTATTGTTATGACACGTGGCACAATCTGGAGTGTTGGAATTCAATTTTTTTTTAAATCCAACGGCAGAGATTAACTATTTGAATAAAAAAATTTAAAAATTGTAAAAAAATCTGAAAAAATATCTGAAAATTTTTAAAATAAATGTTTCTACTTTTCTATAAATACCTTCTCATTATCATCTACTTTACACCACAATTTCATATTTTCTCAACTACTTTCAATCATATTCCTATTTTTCTCTCAAAGTTTCAATTCAATTTTTTTCAACAAAATGACTACTAATGCAGGTACGAATTGGACGCTTCTTGAAGATGTTGCATTGTGTACTAGCTGGGTTGAAGTTACTCATAGTTCGCGTACAAGTAATGAGATGCAGTTGTGAGAAATGTGGAGTCTTATTGATACCAATTATCTCGAAAAATGGATGGGAGTAGAACCAAAGAATCGATATCTAGTCGTTGGAAATTACTTAGCCAATCGTTTAGTATTTGGAGAGACGCCTTGGCACAAGCTAGTAGTAATCTTCGAAGTGGGGAAAATTACACAGATCAGGTAACAATATATTATTTATTTGTTTGTACTATACCCAAATTTACATTGTAATTATTTGTTTGTATTATTTATTTGTTACATACTTTAATTAAAATTATTTGTTTGTATTATTTATTTGTTACCTACTTTAATTAAAATTATTTGTTAGTATTATTTATTTGTTACATACTTTGATTATAATTTTTTGTTTGTATTATTTATTTGTTACCTACTTTAATTATATTTATTTGTTTGTATTATTTATTTGTTACCCGCTTTGATTATAATTATTTCTTCTCCCCCATTGTGTAGCTAATTCAAGCACAAGCTTGGTATGATGCCAAAACCAAAAGCAAAAATAAATCATTCAACCGGTGGGAATGTTGGAATATTGTCAAAGATTGTCCTAAATTCAGAGTTGTGTCTGTCAGTCCAGAAGTTGTCATGAACAGCTTGTTTCAATGCCCACTGGTGCTCTATCAAGTCATTTTGCCTGGCATTGTGCATGTCTGACCTTTGAAATGCAGTATATCGTTGAACTACCCTTTCATTGTAACGTCCATCCCTTTCTAATGGCTCATGTTGCACGGGCTCATCGGTGGCGTCATGAGCACAATATTTACGTGTTCTTGAATTGTTCATCATGTCTGGCTCATATTCATCAACGGCTTCATAATTGTACTCATCTTCCACCATCATGTTGTGAAGAATGATGCACGTCATCATGATGGATCGAAGCGACTCTACATCAAACAATCTGGCAGCACCCCTGACGATCGCTGTTGTAAACTGAAAATAGAAAGGAACGAAGTTACCCGAAAAAATGTAAAAGCCTTGAGTGGTGAATGATTCTTGGGATGAGTCGCGGACTAAGTCGCTCTCTTTAAGATGTTTCGCGGCTCTGCCCAAAGTGTGCAAGCAGTTCACAAACACCATGTCGTCCCCAGGATAAAACAGCCCAGAACCTTCTTCTGATAAGATTCTTCCTTGCACATCGGAAGAACCTTCGAACTTACACCTTACCAATATGTTGCTTTTTATAAATCAATATATATAAAACTTTTCTTACTTCGTCTTTGTTCTGCACTTTTTCTAACCTATATATAATCTATATATATATAAAGAAATAGACATTGGAGGGTTTGAAACCGTAAGAAATCATGGATGTTTATGGGATGCACGTTGGAGGGTGTGAAACCGTACAAAATCAAGGATATTTATAGGGATTTATGGGATGCAAAACTGTCTACAATCAAAGGATGATAACAAATTATGTTTTAAATTTAATGTTTGTAATAAACTAAAATATAAATACTTAAAATATTTAAATAAAAACATAATTGCTCAACAATCGCTCAGCAAGCTTGGAGGATACCGAAACAACGCTCCACATCCTTCCTACACCCCTTTTGACATCTTGCAAAGTGTTTTTCCTTTGCACTTCGTGGACGTGGCACTGTTTTGACAAATGTTGACCACCTTAGGTAAATGCCGTCAGCTAGGTAGTATGGCCCGTCGTACATACGTCCGCTGACCTCATACGTGACTTTTGGTGCCTTTCCTTGCAGGATATCATTGAACACTGGGGATTGGGTAAGGACGTTGGGGTCATTTTGAGCTCCTGGAACCCCGAAAAAGGTGTGCCAAATCCATGTATCAAAAAATGTCACCGCTTCCAAAATGATACTTTTTGCTCATTTTCTGTCTCCATAAGCGCCTTGCCATTCACTTGGACAGTTTTTCCACGTCCAATGCATACAATCAATGCTCCCAATCATCCCAGGAAAACCTCGCATCTCGGCCTTCTTCAGAAGCCTTTCCAAGTCCATGTGAGTAGGTTTTCGGAGGTACTCTGCGTAGATAGATTCGATTGCTCTGCAAAACCTCATCAGGGACTTAAGAATGGTTGATTTCCGCATCCTCGCTATCTCATCCACTTGGTCTGCAGCTGCTCCATACGCAAGCATCTGCATCGCAGTAGTAATTTTTTGCTCGGGAATGAGACCCATAGCACCACAAGCATCCTTCTTTTGCACAAAGTAAGAATTATGGTTGCAAACAGCAATCATGATTTTGTTGAACAAATGTCATTCCATTCTAAAACGACGTCTGAAGTACGTATCAGGAAATGCACTATTATGGATAAAATAATCGTCCAACAGCTCCTCACCTCGTTGTTGCCTACTTCTATCAAGGTTTCCGAAACGGGTGGGCATGCATATTTGAGCCACAACTTGGATGACTCGACGAGAATGTGAGTCTCTGGCCATTCTTGCTTCGTCATCTCTCCTTCTCCGCTCCTCATCCTCTTCCTTCTCATTTTAGGCTATATGGAGATTGAACATTCCTTCAGAAACAATTCTTCCTCTTCTTGATCGATTTCCCACATCATGCTTGAAGAAAAAGACATTGTAAGTAGAAACTATGAATAATGATACAGATTTTGATTTTGTGAAGAATGAAGCAGAAACTATGAATAATGATAGAGATACTGAGAAAATTGGTGTGAGATTTAAAAGGATGGATGATGGATTATATGGAGGATTCTGAAATGATTAGGTTGTAGATAGTGCCACATGGCATGCCGTTATTCGTTAAAAATCTGATCGAAATCTATCCTAAAAGATTCTGAAAAGATAACGACACGTGGCATGATGGCATTGGATAAAAATCTTATCGAAATCCATCACCAATAATTATCTTTTCGGATAATGACACATGGCGCAACGAGAACGATTTAAAATCTAATCGAAATCTATCCTCAAAGATTCTGAAAAGATAACGACATGTAGCACGATGACATTGGATAAAAATCTTATCGAAATCTATGACCAATAATAGTCGTTTTGGATAAATGACACGTGGCACAACGAGAATGATTTAAAATATCTTATCCGAAATTAC